TTTCGTTATCGTCTCCCTTCAGAATGTGGAAGTGTTTTATTGGTGTGGTGAGAAACAATGAGGACAAGGCAGGGCTTTGTGGTGGCAGAAATGCATTTTTAACCCATGTGAATGAATGGCGCCTCACATTCCACAGCAGCAGGCCCTACACTGAATGGCAGCACTAACTCGGCTGTTTTCATTACTCATTACTGCCTTGTGCCTTTTCACCATGGACATAGTCATTTACCTTCACCAACTGAGAGGGGGGCGCAACACCATAAAGACTCTATCCTTTTTGTAGGTATAATGACACTGAGCTTGGCAAAACAGTTTTTCTACATTTTCAAAAGAAATCTTCTAATTGATAAGTAACTGGTTCTGTTGATTTTCTCCATACTCTGCTTTTAATATTAAATCTGCGTAATCCCAAAAAGATATTAACAATGGACTTTGTTTGACATGAAACATTTTGCTCAAAGTGACAAATCAAAGCAAATTATTACTCAACTTGCAATTCATCGCAACTCTACAGAGATGTATTGCCACTTATGTTTTGATGTTCTGGCTGGCAACTTTACACTTCTGATTCAAATGCTCTAACACTGTGGTCCACCTACTCAGAACTAAACATCAGAAAGAACAAGTTAGGAGGTAGAAAACAGTGTCGAATTGAGCAGTTAGAGAACCATATATTTCCCTTAGGAGATGGTGTAGACCAAAACAGAGCGAAAAGACGTGGTTTTTCCAATAAGTGAAAAATAATGCATAATATGTATCCGCCTGTTTTTCCTTCCACCAAGTTTCATTACAACACGGCATTGACATACGAATAAATAGAAAAACATAGCATAACAGAGTTAATGAAAGCTCATGCTGCTTTTTATCTACCAGATGTATAAATGAGCCAAATATGATGACACGTCTGTCATATTGACTGATACTTTGTCACTGTAGCTTGTTTCTGCTGCCCCCAAGTGGCCAAATTATAATTTAAAGCAAAATCTGCAAATGCTAGAATCATCTTTATGCCATCCTAAATGCAAGGGATTATCACAACCAGATTTGCATTTACTCTTGTTCAGGTGTATCTCCCGGTTAGTATCTCTTGGTTTAAGTGTGTATATATCCTGTTTTAGCATTAGCACATCTCTGTGTGGTTCCCAGCACCTTGTGGAATTCACGTCTAGCAGAGTTCCAGAGCTAGCTTTGTGCAAATAGGTCTTTGGTTGAATCTTTTCAGTACTTTTTGAAGTGTAATTGCTACCCTGCTTTGACTTCTTCATTCCTGCTTTGACTTCTTCATTCCTGCCCCGACTGCTCATGTTGATGTTGTGTGGCTTTGAACAGACACTGAGTCAGTTCTGCTGAAGTTCCGATCTTCCTTACTATTGTATCAATCACGTCTTTTACGAAAGCAAGGATGTGCCTGCCTTCACAGGTTTTGATCACTGTCAGTGGCATATTACGGTTGGATTATGGAGAGGCTGTTCCTTATTTCTTTGGAAAATGAAACAGAAAATGAAAATACTACGATGTCTTGTGTCTGTTCTCTGGTGACGGCATTGATTCCCTGCTGCATGGTGGGGGTTTTTACTCTGAAAGGGCAATCTCTCTGCGTTAGCCTAGAAACACCAAGCTCCTGGATTAAATTATAAATGAGCCCTCCATGGGAAACACATTGCTTCCTGCCTCGGATAATCACAAACAATTTACATTTACTGCGACCATCATCCTAGACATTACCAGTATGTGGATATGTACGTCCATTATTATTTACCTAAACATTCTCGAACAGGTGGGTAGGTAATCCGTCTATTTGGGTCACACCTGCATCCGCCCCATCCATGAGGACCAATAAGATCAGAAGATCAAGTCTCTGCCATGCCAAGCAGCCCTGTCCAGCTAGTGAGTCCTGATAGCTGTCTAAATTAGGCCCAAGAAAATGATGTAGTAATCGGAGGATTAAGATAGGAGAGAGGTTAGAGTTGGTGTGGGGTTTAAGGCGGGTGGAGGCAGGGGGGATTAGGAAACAGGGACTTGTTATCCTTTGCCTATGGTGGTGAGGGTCCGGAGAAGCATCATAGCATGAAAACATGTTGAAACTTAAAAAAAAAAATGACATATTAAAACATTTTAGCCTGGCTCAAACTCTCAAATGATTGACAGCTGTGTCAGTTAACAGTCAAATGGCGGTTGATGCCGTCCTGTGAATTGCAAGCGCACGGCCAATCAGAAAATTCAGATCAGTGCCTCAAGCCCCAGCCCAAAGTTCACAAACCTCTAGAAAGAACTACTCCCCCAGACATAGGGAGGGGGGTTGAGAAAACAGTGGTCCCCATGGTCAAAGTGCCATGAGTTCCTTCAAAGGTTTCTAAGGAAAGTTCAAGTGTGTAAAGACATCTTGTGTTTGTGCATGACGTTTTCACCTTCATGTCACACAAGCAGGTGTGTTGCTTTGACAAACTGCACAGTCAAACTACTGCTAGTATTTGTACCAATAATGTAATCAGCTTTAGGAATGCAGGAACTAAATCAGGGGTGGCCCACAATGGACTGGTTGGATATCGAGCCCATTTATCAGAGCAACTGAGGACACTTGCAGGCAGCAGCTCGAGCCTGCAGTGATGCAAGCAGCTTAACAGCTCCTTGACAGTCAGTTAAATTGAAAAGGATGTGTGTTTTTTTTATTTACAGAAAGTAGAATGTCAAGAGTTTCAATGTTAGCCCGTTATACGGAACATGCTGCATTATCCATCACTGGCACTCATGTTGATTTTCCCTCTTACACATTATTGATGATCCAATGAAA